ATGGCATTTTTTATGGAACTAGAACAAATCATCTTAAAATTTGTATGGAGACACAAAAGACCCCAAATAGCCAAAGCAGTCTTGAGGGGAAAAAACAGCTGGAGGAATCAGACTCCCTGACTTCAGACTATACTACAAAGCTACAGTAATCAAGACAATTACCTAGATCAATGGAACAAGATTGAAAGCCCAAAGATAAACCCACGCACCTATGGTCAACTAATCTATGACAAAGGTGGCGAGGATATACAATGGAGAAAAGACAGCCTCTTCAATAAGTGGTGCTGGGGAAACTGGACAGCTACATGTAAAAGAATGAAATTAGAATACTCCCTAACACCATGCACAAAAATAAACTCAAATGGAGTTGGGACCTAAATGTAAGACCAAACACTCTAAAACTCTTAGAGGAAAACATAGGAAGAACACTCTTTGACATAAATCACAGCAAGATCTTTTTTGATCCACCTCTTAGAGCAATGGAAATAAAAACATAAATAAACAAATGGGACCTAATGAAACTTCATAGCTTTTACACAGCAAAGGAAACCATAAACAAGACAAAAAGACAACCCTCAGAATGGGAGAAAATATTTGCATACAAATCAATGGACAAGGATTAATCTCCAAAATATATAAACAGCTTATGCAGCTCAATATTAAAGAAACAAACAACCCAATCCAAAAATGGGCAGAAGACCTAAATAGACATTTCTCCAAAGAAGACATACAGATGGCCAAGAAGCACATGAGAAGCTTCTCAACTTCATTAATTATTAGAGAAATGCAAATCAAAACTACAGTGAGGTATCACCTCACACCAGTTAGAATGAGCATCATCAGAAAATCTACAAACAACAAATGCTGGAGAGGGTGCGGAGAAAAGAGAACCCTCTTGCACTGTTGGTGGGAATGTAAACTGATACAGCCACTATGGAGAACTATATGGAGGTTCCTTAAAAAATTAAAAGTAGAATTACCATATGATCCAGCAATCCCACTACTGGGCGTATACCCAGAGAAAACCAAAATTCAAAAAGACACGTGCACCCTGATGTTTACTGTAGCACTATTTATAATAGCCAGGTCATGGAAGCAGCCTAAATGCCCATCAACAGACGGATGGATAAAGAAGTTGTGGTACATATATACAATGGAATATTACTCAGCCATAAAAAGGAACAAAATTGAGTCATTTATTGAGATGTGGACGGAGCTAGAGACTGTCATACAGAGTGAAGTAAGTCAGAAAGAGAAAAACAAATATCGTATATTAACGCATGTATTTGGAACCTAGAAAAATGTTACAGATGAGCTGGCTTGCAGGGCAGAAGTTGAGACACAGATGTAGAGAACAGACGTATGGACACCAAGTGGGGAAAACCGCAGTGGGGTGGGGATGGTGGTGTACTAGATTGGGTGATTGGGATTGACATGTATACAGTGTAAAAAAAAAAACACGGGGACACCGTGCTGCCAAGGGACTTCGATTCTAATCTGCCGAGGGAGGCTGGACTGTGAGCTGCTCCAGGGAAGGCGTGTCCATATTCGTGCATGTCCCCATGCCTAGCACAGTGCCTGGCTCCCAGTGGGCACTCAGCAGAGGGCTGCTGGATGAACACAGTCTAAGTTAAAGCAATGCAGTTCTGTTTGCTATGATTTCTATTTTTGGAGAGGAGCTACCTTTAAGGTTATACTTCTTAATAGTTTTGTTCATCCTGGATTTACCACCTTCTTCTTTTTCTACCTTAAAAAAGGGGAATAGGGAATTCCCTGGTGGTCCAGTGGGTAGGACTCCTCACTTTCATTGCTGAGGGCGTGGGTTTGATCCCTCATTGGGGAACTAAGATCCCACAAGCCGTGCGGTGAGGCCAAAAATTTAAAAAACAAATAAATAAATTAAAAAAAAAAAAAAGAATGTCAAACAACCAAGTCTCATCTTGGCTCCAGTGTCTTTGGGACCATCTGACTCAGTCTTGGTAGGATTAGCGTCAGGAATGTCTCAGGTACAGATTCTAGGGCCAACTTCAAAGCCCTATCAAATATATATGTATATAAACACACATACACACACATATATGTATATACATATATATATAGAGAGAGAGAAACAGAGAGAGACAGCAAGACAGAGAGACAGAGACAGAGAGAAGTGTGCTTATATATAGATAGATAGGTAGACCATTTTAGCTCTAGTTTGTAGAACCAAATCTAGAAATGACAGATCAAGTTGTAGAGGGAGTTATGAACCATACTTCTTATTCAACAATGAATAAGTGCCACCAACTATATTTCAACTCCTCCATGTACTCACTGATAGTTACTAATAATAATAGTAAAAATTAATATTCATTAAGCTCTTACAATGTGTCAGGCATTTGTCTTAGAGCTTTACAGGTTTGTTTATTCCTCACACAGTCTTTTTAAGTAGAACTATTACTTTCTCCATTTGTAAAATGAGGACACTGCGGTCCTAGAAGGTGAAGTAACTTGCCCAAGGTTATGGAGCTAGTAAGTGGTAGAATAGGGTCTGAATCCAGGTATCTGGAGCCAGACCAGTGCCAGAGAGGCACCATCCCAATAGATCTCCCCAAATATTCTTCCATTTCTTTCCCAACATCAACCCAATTCTAACTCATCAGGTTGCATGAGATTATATCATAGTCCATGTATTCCAAAGGAAAACATTCCTAAGGAACCAAATCAAGAATCAAGAAGAAAATGAAATGCATTTTTTGTAATTTGAAAATGTAAAAGTAAACGTTAAACAGTTGAACAGTTTAGTTGCCTCATTTGTAACAGATGTAGCAGATCATGAGCAGTTAGAGGGAGACATCTATCTCATTGTTGTAATTTTAAAACAAAAAAAACGATTACACAGAACAAAGGCTTTTGATGAAATGGCTTCACCAAAGTATAAACTCTCATCTTACCTCACATATAAAGAAATTGGTACAACTGTGTTGAGAATAATAATATATGACCAGAATGTTAAGAATCCTGAGAACACAGAGTTCTTCTCTCCTTCATTCCAAAAGAGGAAAGTTCTGAATTGGTCCCCAACTTGATTCTCCCAGATTGAATTTCCTATTGCAAGAATAATTCCCAAGCATATCAGAAACCCAAAAATCTGAAATGAGAATAGAGGTCTGGTTAAGGTTAACTTGAATCCCAAACTGGTCATATCAAGGCAATCTAGCACTTCTAAGTCCAAGAAATTGTCATTTGAAAAGCAAGTTATGCAAAGCTCGTCTTACTTATCATTAATCATACAAGTAAAATGTAATATATTTATGTTGGGAACTTGGCTAAATATTTTACATACATTTTCTCACTGAATTCTCCCATTGACTCTCTGAGATAGGAACAAACATTATTCACACTTTACAGGCCAAAACCAAAATAAAACAGAAGCCCAGACAGACTATATAACTTCTTTATGGTCACAAAGCTAATAACTTCACATCCTCTATTTGTGAAGAGTGCATATATTTAAGTGGCTTAAGTAAAGAAGATCATATGTACTGATTTGCTCTGGTCAATCCCCGTTTACATCTATTTTCCAGGTGTAATATTAATAGTATTCCCTTCTTTCACCTTCAAAAGCATCCTGTTTGAATGATAAACTATATGGTAACCCAAGGAATAAAAGCAAAAGGGAGAAAATATCAGTAATAAAGGACTGTCTCAGACTAGTCAAGTCTCTTGGCTACAGACCTAGCTGCATAATCCTTACTTAAAGTCAACAAGAAAGATAAGGATTAATTAAAATACGGCATGACATATACTAACAGTTTTCAGGTTGCTTCTGAGATTTAAAAAAAAGTAGGAAGCAACCTGAAAACTGTTAGCCGACTCTTACATTGTGATTAGTACCAGTAGTAGCAAAGCAGACATTTTAGAGGTAAAGTAACTAGGAAGACAGCAAGGCCAGTCCCTTGTAAGTCCAAAATCCCAAACCTGGAAAGGAAGGACACAAAGTCACCAAACATACAACACCTGAGCTGAACACGATGTTCTGGGGACCTTGCTAAGTGTCACCGTGTTAGGAACAGATATACCAGTCACTGTTGAGGGAGGAGTGGGGCTAAAAACAGGAACGTATTTCTCTCCTATTTCCTTTTTCCTCCAAGAAAGAATATTCAGGCATTCTGGGACTGCCTCCTTTATTCGTTGATGGACAAATTAGGCACATAAGAAGACAAAGTTGGGGAAAACCTCATTTAAAATATATTAGTATATTAATATACTTTAAGTCAGGAAAACCTAATTTAAATTATATTAGAAAAGCAGGTATTGGAGAAAAGTAATACTGTGACTCCCCCAAATCCTACCAATTTGGTACCTGTCTCACAGTATCCTCTTTCCTTTCAACGGCTAACACTACAAATTAATGGAGGTAAATTACTTTAAGAACATTAAATTTGGTGATGCTTGGTATCAAATGCCCTAATTTAGGATGGACATGGCTTCTAATTCCCCAATGGATCATTCAATTTTCTAGTAGAAAAAGCTAGGACAGTGCCTGCTTCACAACCAGTAAGCTTACTCTGTGGTGGAAACATATACAATCCCCATGCAAGCCCTACAGGTGGGCTCAAGGCTGTTTAAATGGGGAATTCTAGAGGTGGGCACAGACTCCTTCTGGGAATGTCCCCTTGGCCTCATGGACTTTATGGGTATGAGAGGAGGAAAGCCCAGGTCTGAGGGTGACACTGAAAGTAAAACACAGAGCCTGGCCAATACTTTGTGCCCCAAAAGAGTTCATTCCCTTTTTTCCTTATTCAGGGTCCCACCATTATGTATCAGTTGAGCAAATATTTACTGAGTGCAGATTCTTTAACGCTGCTTGTGAGTCTGTGATGGGGCTGGTAGGGAAACATGGTTCAAAGTCACTGTCCTTATATTTCAAAGTCAATGTTCTAAACTCAACCCTAATATAAGGAGACAAAGCGATATGACACAAAAGTCAGATAACAATCAGATCCACAGCATGAGAGAGCACAAGATTAACCGATGAAAGGGTGGGGTGTGAAGAAGACTTGACTATTTGGAGTTCACAAGTGGTAGAGAAAATAATTTCAAAAAATTCAGAGGAGAAAAAAAATTCAGAGGAAAGAGATAGCCTTGGGCCCAGGAGGTTTCGAAGTCTTCATGAAGGAGGTAAACAGTGACTTGGGCCTCAGAGGATTTATAAGCAGAACCAGCTACATAATTTTCAGGGCCCAGTGCAAAATAAAAATGCAGGACCCCTTCTCTAAAAATTATGAAGAATCTCTGCACAGCAACAACAGATCAATAAGCCAAGTGTGAGGCCCTTCTGAGTGGGGGCCCTGTGTGACTTCACAGGCCACCTATCCATGAAGCCAGCCCTGTCCACAAGCTATGTAGAGGGGGCATGAGCAAATGTAACATGACCAAAAGACCAAACTACCTTAAAAATTATGTTTTGTCTTTTAAAAACAAATGGTCTTGCAACGCCATGAAGGCCTCCATAAGCACGAACCTACGTCTCTACCAATGGTTGAGAAATCATAATCTAGGAAGTAGAAGACAGTAGAACTGGGCCCCAAATGCAAAGTCCCCAAATACAAATTCCACAAGGAGAATGTAGATTTCTGAAAGAATTCCCAGAATAATGGAAGAAATATATTAAGATAACAATGACTAATGATAGTGCCTAATTTTGTTAAGGTAACTTACCCATAGTACTAGAGTATTCATCAGTCTATCAATGCTTGTCCTCTTAAACTTCGTCTTACCACTGTTCTGCATTAGTTTAGTATCAGGACCTGCAAAAGAAAAAAAAAAAAGAAAGAAAGAAAAAGATATAACTTTGAAATGATTAGATGATGTATTATTATTATTATTAATTCCTACTTATATCAAATGTTTCTGAAAGGAAAATAATATGTTTTTCAAAATAATTTGACTTTTATTAAGAGCAGGATTATTATTAAGTTGTTTATGATTCTCATCCGGTGGCTTAACAACAATCCTGGAAATTGCAAGGAACTGGTCCTCTTAGAAGGGGATAAATCCAGACATAACTTGCAGCTAAAAGGTTTAAGAAATGCTATTTTTCAAAAATCTGTGTATGGATGTGCTTATAGTTTGAAGCAATTAAACATTAAGAAGTCAGTCAAACTGAGGAATCATTTATAAATGTCTAAAAGAATGTAGTAATAAACACAATTCAGAACACTAAGGTCTGAATGGAGAGTTAAGATAAGAAATCAAATTCTGGATGTGTTTCCCAAAAAGATGTGAGGTGCCTTTAATGGAGAAACTAAAATAACTCCAAACAAGTAATTTAAACCTTTATTGTGTATTGTACACTATTTATATAATATGCATTTCTTGTAAGGGCAAGAATTGTCTTAAATTCTTATTAGATTTATTTAGATTTATTTCAAGTAATTCTCTTAAATCCCATGTTAGATATTTACTAAGTGCCTTGTTCAAGAAATTCTGAGAATTAATTAACTGCTTTAGAGGTCGATTATTAGATGATTAACAAAGAATATTAGATTATACTGCTAAGGAAATTCCTTGTGGACAAAGAAGATGCTCAATAGAAGTGATTACATTTTAATTATATCAGATTTCCCTAGTCTTCCCTCTCCACTTCATCTTTCCACAATTATCACCAATCCATGCAGCCACTTAAAAGCAGAGGAGAAGGGAAAGGGAAGAAAAGAGAGAAGCGGGGCACACATGGAATTATACGCCATTCTAGAGGTCAGGGAAGCATGGGAACATCCTTAAAAGACTCCTTTACTTGAAAGACAAACTGGAGCAAAGATTGGGGTCTCAAACAATTCACTGTCCTGAGTTGGAAATTGTACCCCAGTGTCCTATTCCCAGCCTCTACTGTGTAAAGGAGACCACCCGCATTTTCTCAGAATCGTTTATTAAAATCATATGGACATTGAGGGTGGGAAGTATTTCTTTTAGTAAAGATCACAAGGAGCAAATAGAGTTTGTGATTGCTAAAAGCTGAAATATTGATAGACCAGTTTCGTGCTAAAAATTTACATTTCTTAGGCATACATACACACACAGACTAGCAAAGAATCCACTGAATGGGTTCTTAAGCACTTATTTAAATATATCCACAGATGTTGATATACACAGCTCTTCTTCCCCTCATAGTCACAGTCCTGAGAGAATTTTCTATACTCAACAGCCTCTTTTTCCTTATCTCCCACTCATTTCTCAAGCTAGATTCTGGGCCAGTCAGTCCACCGAAACAAATGTGGTGCTATCATCAATATCCTCCATGCCTTCTTGGACCTCTCAGCAGCCTTTGACACTGTTGACTACTCCATCCTTTTGAAACACACTCTTTCCTTAGCTCCCATTTTACATGTTCTGCTTTCCCACCTACCTCTTTGGTAGCTTCTTTTTCGTCTTCCATTTTGCTCATTCCTTTCTTCCCAGCCATTAAATAGTGAGACTTCTTTAGAATCAGGCGTAGGCCATCTTCTCTTCTTTCTCAACCCACCTTCCCTGAGCAATCTCATCTAAGACCACAGCTCCAATTAACATCTGTAGGCCAAATGTATATCTCCAGCTCAGATTGCTCCTCTGAGCCCTAAACTCATATATTTAAATCCATATATTTGATTGCCTATATGATATCTTCACCTGGTCTTTCTAAGGCCCCTCAAGTGGCCCTTGTCAAGCCCACCTTGTGACCTTTCTCCAGGGTTCCTTATCTCAGTGAATGGCACCACTATCCATCCAGTTGTGAAAAGTGGGAGAAACCTAAGAGTCTAGTCTATCGCATCACTCCCACCCTAAATCCGAAGTACCGTCATCTCTCAACTGGACGGTAGTAAAATCCTAGCAACTTTGTCTCCCCACATCTACTCTGCCACCACCCGAATCACTTTTTCCAGGACCCTATTTACCAACTTTAAAAATACTGTAGGCAGGAGTGAAACTTTCAAATTTAACACTTACGCACACGCCATCTGTTTGAAAAACTTGCAATGGCTTCTGAATGCTCTCAGGAAAAAGACCAAAATTCTGGATACAGACCACAGGACCTGTATGATCTTGCCCCTATCCCTGTCTCTAGTCACGTGTTCATCTCTATCCTCCAAGTTTTCCATGCTCTACACTGGCCTTCTTAAGCTTTTTGTTTGTTTGTTTGTTTGTTTGTTTTTACCTCCCCAGCCTCATTCCTACCATAGAGCCTTTGCCTATGGCGTGCCTTTTGTCTAGCTTGTTCTTTCCCTTCATATTCCTCCACTACATACTCCTGTGAGTCCAAGTTCTTTTTCTTCAGAGCACTTATCTCAGTTTGAGATTATATACTCATTACTACAATTATTTAAGATTAATGTCTCTCTCTCCTACCAGACTCAAAACCACATGAGTGAAGAGATCGCACTTTTTTTGTTCACATTCTTAATGGCAAATAAGTTAGCAGCATAGTGCCTGCCGCATAGTAGGTACTCAATAAATAACTGTTTAATGAATGAATTTATTTATTAAGTACCTGCTATGTTTTAGGCAATGTGCATATGTCCTTTTCACCTATTATCTCACTAAGGCTTAAAACAAGCCAAAAAATTAGGTACTATTATCCTTAGTTCACTAATAATGAAACTCAGGATTAAAGAATTTAAATAACTTGCCTGAGATTTATTTTTTGTCTTGTCTTGTAGCATCAGAGCCAAACTTAGAACCCAGATATATCTAATTCTAAGGCTCTTGCTCTTAACCACTATTTTTAAAGCTATATGCAACAGTCCATCAATTCATTAATTCACTGACTCATTCAAACAATGTGTGTTTAAGACTGTGACTCATTCAGAGTCCAAACAGGAAATAGATGACACATTGATCAAGGATAATTAGAGAAAGGTTTATTTATAAAGGGACTCTTTACAAAAGTGTGAGTGGGTGTATCAGAGGTACAGAAGTAAAAGGTTAATGCAGTAACCAAGGACTTGGTAGCAATCAAGATGTTTCTCTATCTACACCAGAAGGGTAGGATGAGGGAAAGGGGTGGTTATTAGACCCTAAGGAGAGAGTTGTGTAAAGTCTGCAGCCTTTAGAGGAAGAGTGACTTTATGTTGAGGGACCCAGCCAGCTTGAAGGTAGGCAGTCTGGGGGAATAAATACCTTGACCTCAGTCTTCTTCCTTTGATCTCTTCCCAGGGACCCCCCCCCCCCAATGATAGGACCAAAGTTCAAGGAAACCTGTTAGTGTAAACCATACAAGTCAGCCTCCCAAGGCAGACAAAGAGTGTGAAATGGTGAGAGTAGATCTGGAGGGGCAAATGGAAGACATCCAGCACAAAAACCTACTATGCACCAAGATGGTGCTGACTTCTATGGACGCCTTAAATGAATAAGACTTCTGACTTGTACCCTCAGAAACAGGACTTTCTCCTCTCTTGAGGTAAAGGAAAACCATACCAGGGAGGCACGGCCTAGCTGTTAATGTATATTAGACCCTCAAAAATTATAGATTTGTAAAGTAAACCATGTTTGTGTCAACTATACTCCTTGCACAATTCTTAATGGCAGGTATAACTAGAGTAATAATACAGAAAGAATAGTTAATAATTTGTTTTGGGTAACTTTCATAAGATCTAGGTGTTCACCTAGAACTAGTTCCCCAAATTAGATGTCTCATGACTTAGGGGTTCTGAGACACTCATTTGTTCAACTCTGACATTGACGAAACCAACGATTCCTCTGCCTGCCGTTATTCTAGTTGAACTTTCTATTAACGTTTGTGCCTAGACTAAAGTCAACGTAGGCATGCTCTGCTTTACAGATATCTGCCTCATGAAGATCCCCTGCCAGTGAACATCAAGGTCACATCACAAAAGAGGGTGATGCCCCACTTCTCCCTGCCGAGATCCAAGAGCAGTACATTTTCCCAACTCTCAGCCTATGGAGCAGACAATGTGCTCTGAATTGATGCGGAAAGAAGGGAGACTCAGGGAAGGAAAGAAAATAGCATTTGTCAAGCATCCTCTTCCATGTGCATTGCCTCACTGAGCCTTTACAGTGACTCTCTAATGTACTCATTCCTATCCCCATATTATAGCAGAGAAAACTAAAACTTAGGAAGTTTAAGTAACCGAGGTTTAACATTCTCCAGCTGGTAAACAAATTTAAACCCAGATCTGTCCAATCCAAATTCTGTGAACTATCTGTTACACTTTTTTGGAGGGAGACCTGTCCAACTTACCACTCCACTTTCTTCTGTGTAGGAGCATTTTCCCACAGAGCCAACATTATGAAGGAAAGCTTGACCCCTGAGGGGCTCTCAGCAGCTGTCCTAGCATAACATGCTATAGCTGAACCATACTTCCGAATTAGTCATTCCAAACAAGATCACACAAATGCAAACAAAAGCTTGGGCTACAGCCCACTCCTAGGATGATGCACCCCCCCATTTCTCTAATGATAGGGAGCAAACCAAGAAGGTCCTTCACATCAGAGGACCTCCAAGAAATCTCCCCTTCATTAAATGGAAAGACTAAAGGGGGAAGGTAAAGAGAGGTTAACGTATAAGCCTAGCACTCTTTTTCTCAGTACAAGATGCAAATAAGGAAATAGATGATCATAGGTTTATTCCCCTGACTAAAGAGTAAAAGCATCTGGTGAAAACATTATGAAACCAGATTCATCCCCAGATAAAACTGTATATACAGCCTCATTTCTAGGGATTTCTCAAGTCCTTACAATGGCAATGCCCCAAGCAGCAAGAGCCTTGCTAACACCCACAGCTGAGAGTATTTAAGAGGAATTGGGAGGATTTCTCTAGATTTGGAACACTTTTGAGTCTTTAATGAACATTTTGTTGCTGTTGAAGGAAGTCAGTTAAGAAGAACATTCCAGTTTTGATTGCACATATAGTCAATGGGCCCAAAACACATCTTAATTTGGTGTCACAATAAACAGGACTTTTAAAAAATCAAGGACTGGCAATTGAAGCCATGAGTGAAATTTGAGAGGCTTTACGAAATGGTGCTACTGTAAGCTTCCTTAGCAGGAGAGTGCCATCTTGGGCCCTTAGAGACAAAGTAGAGACAGGAAAAGTGGCAGCAGGCAGAGGAAGAGGCACTCCCCTCCCTCCCCCAAGTCCCATCCCCACCTCCAGCATGCACAGTCTTTCCAGGACCTGCTGACGAATAGTAGAAGAAGCTCTGAAATAGACACAGAGATAACTGCAGGATCTCTAAGAAGGCTTTTCCAAAAGGATTGCTTGAACTTGGCAAACTACAAAATTAACAGCAGAGCTGGGGCTTTCTTTCATGCTCATTCTCCACTTTAAAGGCAGGCTGATTAATACATATAATGATGGGGATGATTGAGACGGGGTTAGAGAATGAGGAATTAAACAATAGGCATCATAAATAGTGCTACAATGAACACTGTGGTACATGTCTCTTTTTTAATTAATAGCCAGGACATGGAAGTAACCTAAATGTCTATCAACAGATGAATGGATAAAGAAGATGTGGCACATACATACAATGGAATATTACTCAGCCATAAAAAGAAACGAAATTGAGCTATTTGTAGTGAGGTGGATGGACCTAGAGTCTGTCATACAGGGTGAACCAAGTCAGAAAGAGAAAAACAAATGCTGTATGCTAACGCATACATATGGAATCTAAAAAAAAATAAAAATGGTACTGATGAACCTACTGGCAGGGCAGGAATAAAGACGTAGACATAGAGAATGGACTTGAGGACATGGGGCAGGGAGGGGGAAGCTGGGGCGAAGTGAAAGTAGCGACATACATACACTACCAAGTGTAAAATAGCTAGTGGGAAGCAGCTGCATAGCACAGGGAGATCAGCTCTGTGCTTTGCGATGACCTAGAGGGGTGGGATAGAGAGGGTGGGAAGGAGGCTCAAGCGGGAGGGGATATGGGGACACGTGTATGCATATGGCTGATTCGCTTTGCTATACAACAGAAACTAACACAGTATTGTGAAGCAATTATGCTCCAATAAAAATCTATCCAAAAAAAAAATATATAGTAGGTATCTAGCATCTGAGTAATTAAGGCCCATGCACTCTTAAGAATAAGTTCATGATGTCAGTGTTTCCTTGCAGAGTGGGGCCACACAAACTATTTCCAGAGCAGCGGTGTCTTATCCTGGTGCCCTGCACTCTGCAGTTAACCCAGAAGGGCACCTCGCACGCAATAAAAGCACCGTGCTCATCCAACCTGGAGAGCCGCAGAGTGCTCACGCAGATCTCAGGAAGGGCTCTCCCATAACAGACCCTGGAGAGTTTTCTGTACCTGCAAAAATAACCATTCCAAAACACCAGCTGGTATTTCTCAGGACACAGCCCCTCAGGATTATCTTCTCATTGTTGAGGGAGTGCTCGCTGCCCTTCCAAGAGAGGACTCCGGTGAATTTATCTAGTTTGTTGTTAGGCGCCTCACAGACAACAATCCCTGTAAAATACAAAAAACAAACATCTTTGTGACTCACCTCAAACTCTCTTTAGAGGTCCACAATACTGCTTTAGCACCCAACTTCTAACATACAGTACATTTTCCTTCTCTTTTGGACAGCACAGTTATATATACACATATGTACATATATCCTAGGCTGTGCTAGGAAAAATCATCTGGGAGGGGTACAAAGATGGAAATCCATCAGATATTTTGAAACATAATTTTCTGCACTGTCCAAATAAGAACAGAAACCTCAAGAGCCATGGGATGTTTATTCCTCTAAAAAGAAAAAAAAAAATCACTAATCACTACTTTTGGTTTGTAACAAATGATTTTTGAAAAGATAAAGCAGGGATGATCCTAAAGGTTTTTCTTATTTCATGTCTTTTTATTTAATGTAACTTTCACACAGGTTAAGGTGGCATACTTCCAGTTTCACAGCCAAAGTTAACCGGGTCTTTCTAGGCTGATAATCAGAATTTCGGGGTTCCTACTATATTCCACCCCCAAGAAACCTGGGTCTCGTTTGCCACATGTGCCTGAGAATGCGTGTGATTCCTTTCAGCTGTCCTATGCTTCTTATCTTGATTAGATTCAGAGACCTGGGGGCTCTCAGAGGCACCATATAACTTGCCCCAAACTGTCCAGAAGATGTTTCTAGTTTGTTTTAATACCAAGCCCATTCCAAACTAAGGGCATGCCCATTCTAAATCGATGAATCAATTCGTTCCATTATTTCAATAAGGAAATACACTTTTAGGGTGAGGGTTCTCTTGATAGAAAAACAAACCAGAAATAATCTTTCACGGACCCTGTCACAAAATATATCTATTAGATTCAAGTACATTTGCATTGCAGACGGTTGGGGTTAACTTTTTATAAGTTATGAGTACAAAGATTTGAAAGACAGAGAGAGAGAGGAAGAAAAAGAGAGAGGGAAGGAATGAAAAAGGAGATTGAGGGTAGATCCAAACAGGGTTCAAGCCAGCCAGGGGTAAGATTAGTGTCTACAAAATGCTCTCTTGAAAACAATAAAAATACATTTATTTAATCAGAAGCCAAAAGGGTAGATTGCAACATAAAAAGTGTCATTTGGAAAATGAAAAAAGGAAGCACATTTTCAGCATTGACTGAAGGGAAGAGAGGCCAGCCAGGCCTACAGAACCTTGTATTGCACTGTTACACCCCTAACAAACACCTCCTGAACCTAGAGCCTTCTTAGATGGGCTCCCTTCCTTAGTAGGATGATATCTTTTCCTTTTAAAACTCATGGACCGAGGTGACAGCAGCCAGTTTTCACATGGCCTGATCACTCCTAACCAACCAGATTACTAATATTCATAGATCTTGCTTGAAAAAACAAAAACAAGAGTCTGGAAGGAATGAGAGACTCGAGGGCTCCGGGCTGCTTTTCCAACTCCATCTACCTTTCGTCAGTATCATAAAAGTGTCGCTGCCTGAACACCCCCAATTGGGACACACACTGGCTTCTTCCCAGACATCCACTGCTAACTGTGAGCGTGCTGGCAGGAGGATTTGGATGAGGCTAAATAACCTGTACAAAGTCACTTTTTATACGAAGGGAAGTGGCCAAGTCCTTGTTTGCTCCCATTACAGCATATATCACAGATATTCAAAAGTAAATGAAAACTGATTTCAACTGGCCCAAGTTGTTTAGACAATTACATTGTAGAAGAGAAGACTTTTTCTAAACTCTAAGAATTCAGTATCTTTTTTTCTTGACCAATAATATACATTCCTGAATTTTGTAGAACCTTGAATTGGGTGTCACCAGCAAAACCTACATAAAATTATGGGTTGACAGCAACCCTCAAAGCTTATTCCAAATTCTTGACCCAAGACTCAATTTCTCAGGCTTCAAACTTGGCCACTAAAAAAAAAAAAAAGTGCTTTGGGCAAAAACAACATGATACACAGTTCCTGCCAACAGGAATATAAAAAACAGGCTCATTTGATCATTTTTATTGTCGTAAGCAAAGACTGACATGGAGGCAAATACAGCCTTGAACATGTTGGCTCGCTCCTCCCTGGCCCCAAGGCTCATCCACTTCTGGCCTGACACCAAGGGTGTGGCTCTAGACAGAAACAGGCAGTAAGGCCAAGGGGCTCTGCCTCAGTTTTTGGAAGGCAAACTCCAATTCAGCCCTTCTGGAAGAGTGTGGGCCCAGTGATTTAAATACATACTAAATACAGGGCCTAGTCAAAACAAAGTGGCAAGAACAAAGCCAAACTACTTTTTTTTTTAACTTTAGAAGTGCTCAGCTTCCCCCTTTTAGCCCTGTTAGCACAAAACACAAGCTTCCCAATGTCTCTTCTGCCTCTTTCCAAAAGGGGTGAGCAGGTTTCTTTGAACGGAGCACTGGATTCACTTCTATATCCCCATAACCCATCATACTGGCTCCATAATAGGATCTTAATAAATACCTGTTGGGGAGATGGATGGAAAGATGGTTTTAAGAGAGAGACTGGGAGATGATATAAGTATTAGAGTAGATCTAAGATGAATGAAAGAAGTGGTATATTTCTATGGTAGTATGATAAAGGGGATTGGAAGACCTAATCGCCCAGCCACAATGGGGGAACTTAGGTTGTCCTAACTCTAAAGGGATACAAATAGATCTGAAAACACTGAAAACAAGGTGGGCAACTTAAAGCACATCAGAAGCAATCAAAACTATATTCCTCTCATAAAGCAAAATAAGGACTAGAGAAAAACTGTAGGACCTTTCTTCCCTTTGCTAATTGTGTCAAAGAGTTAAGAGGCAGTAAACAGTCAGATGACAATGGATGAGAAAACAGTTTAGGAAAAATAGCATTGTTTCTCACATAATTATTCACTGAACACATGTTTAGAGAACAAAGTCGTCTTTAATGAGCAAGAAAATAACTGGGAAAAAAATCATGTCAATAATGAAGTATAAATATAATGAAACTAGCTAGTCACAGTTGTTTGCTTCTCTGAAGATAACAGACGTGTAAGCAGATAGCAATTCATCCAGTTTGCAATCACACAGAAATACTCTAGGCCATACCGAACAAAATCCACAAGATTTCACTCCGAACCCTGCCGGCATTCTAAATTTAGTCAGCTGGATTGTTGGTTAATTACCATCCTAATAACCTTCTCAAACTAAAGTGTTTATCTTAAAGTGGAAATCTACAGTTTATCATGAAAATGGAATTCAGTACCCAATACTTCAAGATTTTTCCAGAGCAGTTGGCTTTATTTCTTTATGGATATTATTATTAGCAATGCTTCTTGATTATCTGCGCTACAACTCTTCCCTAAGACAATTACCTATTAAATAAGACATCCTGGGACTTCCCTGGTGGCGCAATGGTTAAGAATTCGCCTGTCAATGCAGGGGACACGAGTTCGATCCCTGGTCCGAGGAGATCCCGCATGTTGCGGAGCAACTAAGCCTGTGCACCACAACTACTGAGCCTGTGCTCTAGAGCTTGCGTGCCACAACTACTGATCCCACGAGCCACAACTACTGAAGCCCACATGCCTAGAGCCCATGCTCCACAACAAGAGAAGCCACCGCAATGAGAAGTCCATGCACCACAACGTACCGCAATGAAGAGTAGCCCCTGTTCGCCGCAACTAGAGAAAGCCGGCGCACAGCAATGGAGACCCAACGCAGCCAAAAATAAATAAATAAATAGGTAAATTTAAAAATAAATAAATAAGACATCATCACTGCTGTTCAAGAGTTTCTCCAGCCAAGAGCTTCTTAGCGTTTAGAAGACTGCCCCCTACTGTTGCCCTGATGATTGTGATAAATATTTATTTTTTCTTAGAAAGAAGAATGTCACCTTCCCATTTTCTAAAACCTCATTATTCTTCAACTATTAAGCCTTAGCCACCCATCATCACCACCATAATGGCCACATCAACACCAGCAGTAAAGAGAAGAGTTATTCCTCCTTGTCTTCACAAGGCATCTATGCCTTACACAGTCACATCAGCTTTGCTGTTAGGCTGTGCTTCTGTGCAGGTGAATAGGAAACATATCTGACAAGTTGAAAAAGTCACAAGATGCTAACCAAGCCTTTCTGTGTGTTTGTTTGTTTGTTTAACCAAAAAGAGATGCTTGTTTTTCTGTGTTTTAATTACACACATGCTCTTCTTTAGAAAGGCTCACAAAAACACACAAAGATTCCTGAAATAAAGAGTCAACCAAGGGGGCTTCCCTGGTGGCACAGTGGTTGAGAGTCCTCCTGCCGATGCAGGGGACACGGGTTCGTGCCCCGGTCCGGGAAGATCCCACATACCACGGAGTGGCTAGACCTGTGAGCCATGGCTGCTGAGCCTGTGCGTCCGGAGCCTGTGCTCCGCAATGGGAGAGGCCACAACAGTAAGAGGCCCGCGTACCGCAAAAAAAAAAAAAGTCAACCTTTCCCTGGTTCGAAACTCAGTATTAACAGTCATACAAAATATGTAAACTTGTCATATTTGCAAAAAAACAGACCTTAGTCCAGCCAGTAACAATATGCAAAAGAGTCTTAAGCACATTTGGACAATTTACATCCGTGGCTTTCCCCAAGGCATAAGAATGACCAGTTTACAAATGTATAATTGAAACTATTTCCAGTTATTATTTGTAAATCTTGTCAATTCCTGTAAGACTTCAACATGAAAAATCAAGATCCACTCTATTTTTATACTTGTTATAATTTTAAGTCAAGTTATGTATCTTTTTTTATAAAATTCAACAGACTACATATCATTTTTTTCTGATGTTTGAAATGTATAAAAATATTTATATGAGAACTTTTCAAATAAATGGATTTACCTACCAAAACCCACCTCTGTCTTGCATGTGCTGGTCTCTATGTTTGGCCAGCTCTCCTATGAGCTCTTCTCGGGGATCCTGACATTCAAGAACACTGAGAACATGTGCTACTTTTTAAAAACATGATGATGTCATCTGAGTCCTGGATGGACTTGATCTCTGGAAATTCATTTTGCA